AGCGCGGCCCGCTCGTGCGCTAGCCCGGCAGGACGCGGGCGGCCGCCGCGATGCTGCACGGAGAGTAGCGGCGCTGGGGAGCGGCAGGACGCGGGGCGGGCGGCCTCCTCATGCCCCCCGAGCGCTGCGGGAGGAAGGTGAAGGAAGAGGAAGGCGCTGCCGCGGCGGGGGAGCCATGGGGAGATGCACCGGGAGATGCACGCTCGTGGGATTCTGCTGCCTGCAGCTGGTAAGGCGCGGGGCCGCGCTCATCAGCATGCCGCGCCGCGCTTTGTGTGGAGCGGCGCCCGCCACCGCGGCCCGCTCCAGCTCGGCAGTGACCTTGCTGGCGGGCCGGCCTGGGGCTGCGCTAATGCAACCCCAGGGTCATACAAAAATAACGGAATAACTGAATAAATAAAAGGAGCGAGGAGGAATGAGACAAATGTGACCCTCCTCCCCCGCCTCAAGCCAGTGCTCACTGGAGTTGCAGAGAGAGGGATGGATTGGAACCAGTTCTCTGGGTCGCCTGTGCTGGGGGATCTTTCTCGAGCAGGTGGGGGCTTTGTTTGCAACTGCAGTCCCTGCCCTCCAAGTTAGCGACGCACCGGATGGCTCAACAGATGCTTCTTGGGGCTGTGGGTCCCTCCAGGATGGGCTGCCCTCAGATGTGGCACTGGTGAAACTTAAAACTGCAGCCAGCGCTTTGCAAACTCTCCTGCCCGCTAATGGGACCGCTCGGCAGCTAGAGGAAGCTCGTGCGCCTGGGGAAGAGAAAACAGACAGGTGTCACTCCGCTTGGGTTGTTGATATTGGCAGTAATTAGGTGTCGTGCTATTCCCCTGCATGCAAATCAATCTCTATCATGCTGGGGACAGGCTGAGAGCCTGGGGGCTTTCAGGGCGGGTCCTGATACAACCAGAACCCAGGGGCTCCTAATTAATCATCAAGGCACTGTCCCAGAAGGGTGGGTTGTTAACAGAGAAACCCAGCAGTGAAGAGGCACCTTCCAACCTGCCCGGCCACTCCGGCTCTTCAGCAGCTACAAGAAAAATGAGGGGGAATCGCCCGAGCGCTCGGGCCAGGGTGTCCCTGGGGGCTGCACGGGGTGAGGGCTGCTGGGGCTCCCACAGCCTCCGCTCTGCTCGGAGCAGCGTTCATGAAGGTGGCAACGTACGTGATGGAGGCTGGCTCGACATCTGCTCTCGTGGAGGTTTGGGGACGACGGTGGCCTCCTGCCATCAGGCAGGTTCTTCCCTTGAAGCTGCCGATCTTGCAATTCTTTCAGCAACTGGAGAGTCGTTTGTCCTCCTCTGGAAGGTGCGGAGGGCCTTTCCGCAGGGCCGGGGGTGTGGAGCGAAGGGTGTAGCAGGGCAGAGGAGCAGCAGGGGCTGCCCCGGGGGTCTGCGTGTCCTGGCGCTGCCGCGGGGAGCAGCCCCTGCTCCGAGCGCTGCCAGCTCCAGCCTCCGCGCGCTGCTGCCTGCGGCTTCCCCTCGGGGCCTCGGCTCGCGCCGCAGAGGTTCACCCTGCCGCTTGCTCACAAGCTCTAAACCCGATCAGTTTTAGAAGGGGAAATGAGCTGCGAACTCCCCGGTCGGGCACTGCACAGAGAAACTTTGTGTGCGGGCTGGGAGCTGGGACAGCGGCTCCCACTGCGCCTTGTGTGGCTGCTGCGACAGCGGGGACAGGCGTCCTGGAAGGTGGGCTTGGAAACTGCCGCTCCATGGGAACAGTTCCATGCCCCAGGGATGCAGAGAGGCCCCCCTGGTCCCAGGGCACATTCACATGGATTGCCAGGAGGAGAAGGATGCAGTTCTGCGGGTCTCGGAGAAGCTGGATGCTCTGGATGGTGCCAGTCACCCTGCCCACGTGGGTACCAGGCAGCTTGCCCCTAAGTCCCTAAACCTTGGACTTTTTTGGCTTCTTTGTGTCGTTTTTTTCTGGCGTGGCTGATTCGGCCGCTCCGATGCCGGCATCGCCCCGGCTCTGTTGCGCTGTCCCGTCCTCGCAGCCGCTGATGCGGTAGCAGCCCTGCAGGGCGGGGGGAGCGTGGCCTTCTCCCCGGTGTGTCCCCACACCCTGCTGTGCTCCCGTGCTGGGATCAGCTCCGCACGGATTCCACCCCAGCGGGTGTGAGCTCTGGGATGCCCCCTCCGCCAGCAGCGCTGCGGATCCGGTTTTACCCCCATTTTGGACCAGATTTGAGTCTCCAGAGTGAGTTTTTATCCCGTGTTGGTTCGAGTGACTTTGGCCACGCAGTTGCACCTAGCTGTGGGTTAGACCTGGGAAAACTGGCGTGTATCTCAGCAGTATTAGCACTTCCATCCTAGGTTTCCCCCCCTTTTGACGTCCCAAACAATACTTGTTTAAAACGTACCGGGAGAACCAGCGTGGCCAATGGCAGGTGTCCCCTGCAGCTGAAGAGGTCCCTCCTGCTGCTGTTGAGGAAAAGGTTAATGCAGCAGCTTGTCGCTCGGCAGAGCCCGGCGCAGGCGGCGCCGGCAAGGGCCGAGTGGAGCAAAATCGATCTGCTCTCTTGACGCCTGCCCCAGATAATCCAAGAGCCAGAAGCCACCTAATGAAATCAGCGTTTGGGATGAAGGACGGGACGGGTCCTCGAGGCTGCGGCGTCGGCTGCGGGCGGAGAGTGGATTTTGCTGCTTCATCATCGCTCATTAGAGTGGCCCCTCTATGGGAAGCCCGTTGTTGTCGGGAGAATTTCTGTTTTCGCTATGGGCAGATGAAAGCCGCTGAGCTGAACGGCAAGGATGAAAAACGAACCAGCTGCTAGAGTCAACGTGCGTCAGGGGTGCGGAGTTGAGAAGCGTTTGTTCACTCTGAAGACTAGTGATGGAGTAAAGAGAGGGTGAGGAGCTGGGGAGAACTACCGGTTCCTTTCTCCTTTTCCCTTGAACACGTAGGAAAAGCTGCTCTTGGGCAGCGCCTCCCATGCAGACGAGCTGGCTGTGGATCTGTCCCATCCCACGTGGCCCGAGGCACGGAGATGGGCACAGGGAGCCACCGGGATGCGGTCTTGGATGCAGCGCTGCTCCTTCCCACGGCAGGAGTTACAGGATGGATGAGCTGTGGCTGCTCCAAGAGCAGCTCCATCCCCCCGATGCCCGCAGGAACCTTTGGCCGTCTGCGATTCCCATCGGCACGAGGCCGAGCAGAGCCCCGGCTGCCTTCCTGCCGGTGCGGGGCCTCAACTTTATATGTGGCTTTTCAATTACACAATTAAATGCACAATTAGGTATAATTACCTGCACTCCGAAGCCATACCTGTTGGTAATGGGCACGTAATCTACCACTGTCAATGCTTAGATGGCTCCGGCTCCTCTCCCAGATGCTTAGGGGAAGCTTTCCCATGGAAAATCACCCATGGAAATCAGGTTTGGGTGGCACGCAGGTTTGGCCGCCTGTGCCCATGAGCTCGCAAGGGGCCGGCAGCACCGCGATGCTCTGGGAACGGTGCTGGAAGCACCGGGATTTGGGCATTGCCTCAATGGGAAGGGCGTCGGGGCAGGCACCAAGAGTTCCCATCTGCCTGCAGCATCCAGACAATGGGCACTGGCACCAGACAATGGACCCTGGCATGACTGTGCATCGTACAATATATATACGTATAAATATACATGTATATATTTGTATGCATATCTGTGTTTGCATTATTCATGTCGAGAGCGTTGCCTGTCTCGTTTGCACGGGCACAGCTTTGCGGTCCTCAATTACAACAGCTGCCCGGGCTCATTTTCCCTTTTCTCCTCCCACATTTGCAGGGTAGGGTTAATGCACAACCCAGAGCATTAAAGGAGGAAGCCAAAGCTCTCCCAAAATCGCTAATTCCAGTTTGTAAGGAAAACAAGAGCAAGGCAAGGGGCTGGAAAAATGCTATTCTCTCCTGTGTTCCTCTGGGAAGTGGGAGAGAAGGAAGAAGGTTTTGGGATAAGTCAAACTCCACTGTGCCAAAACCCAAGCATTTGACATGCATGGACCCAGAAGATGCTGCTGGACATTTGGGCTGTGGGCCCCTGCAGTGCATGAAAGGGTTCGGGCTTAGGGGTTGCCTCCAGCATGGAGAAACCAAGTCAATGTTGACCCAACCAGTGGCCTGCACCGTGATGGGCAAGATAGAGAGGGGAAAGGATGCTCTGAATAACGAGTGCTGGATACCAAGAGGATGCTCTGAACACCCATGAGTGGGTACCAGGAGGACGTTGGGCATTTCTGGGGCTGGGTACCAGGAGGATGCTCTGAACATCCAGTGCCAGATAGGGCACATCCAGCGCTGGGTGTCAGGAGGATGCCGGGGCTGGCAGTAGTTTGCGACTAGAAATCTTGCCGCATTGGAAGTTAAATGTGTCCTGGGAAGTGGTGAGATGTGAGCGGGATGGGAAAACCCATCCCAAATGCAGCGGGAAGCTCAGAGGGGGCACGAGGGCTCAGGATGCAGCTGCCAGAGAGGGTTCCCCACTTCTGAGTGGAATAACTGTTTGAGTGTGCCTGGCTGGGGAATTTGGCACTTTCTGGCTTCCCAGGCCATGACAGGAGAATCCATAGGGGAAAAAACTGTGATGCTGCAGCTGGGATAGTGACTCTGCCCCAATCACCCAGGCAGGCTGCGCCCAACACGCGGCTCTGCATCCTGCCCCATCCCATGGAGAAGAGCCCTGTCCACACGTTGACACCGGGCCGAGGTTTGAGCGGGTGTCCTGGCACCCTCGTCAGCCCTGTCCTCCAAACCGGGGTCTCAAATGGAGCAGGGCGATGTGGCCACCCTGCCTAGGGTCCGCACCTTGACCATGTGCGTGGAGGACGTAAGCTGAGGACAGGGATGATTATGTCCGTCCTGAGCTCCGGAGCTGTCCTCCTGCCCCGCTATCCAATTAACTGCCTTAATTAGGGCCATTAAAGGTTGGTTTTGGGGATCAAGACATAGGCAGGTATGGGGTGCCCTAGGAGCAGCACCAGAGGGGAAAAGAGGGGATTGTTTTATGATCCTGGTGCCTCCTGGTCCTGGATGCTTCTCCAGCCTTCTGATGCTTTCCCGGCTCCAATTATTTTTAATTTGCCCATGAACACAAAAGACCTTGGGCCGGGATGCCCCCGCGGGGAGGCAGCGCTGGGGTGCACAAAGCCCACGGAGCCCCCACTGGGCCATGCATTAAACATGGGGCAATTAGCGCTGCCAGCAGCCCTGTCCATCCATCCATCTGTCCATGCCTCCATCTGTCCATCCGTCCCTGCAATCCTCCCTGGTGACGGGGGAAGGGGAACGTCAGCAGCCCCTTTACTGCTGTTGTTGCCGTCACGTCCCCCATCTCCGCTTGGGATGGGCCCTCGGATCCCGTGGGATAGCCTTGGGATTCTCTGTGCACTGCACAGGATCTGGAGCTTTCAAATCCTAGCGGGAAATAATCCAGAAAGGGGGAAAATCCCCTCTTCTTGCCCATCCCCATGGAAGCAGCATCCATCCTTCCAGCCTGCGGATCTCATGGGCTCTGGAAGCAGGTGAGGGAAGAATGGGCAGAATGTGACCATGGCTCCATTCTCTGGTGGGCGATGGGTCCTCGTGGCTGCGCCGATGGCATGAGCTGGGCATGGGTGTCTCCAGGACATGTCCACGCTGGATCTGGCTTCTTCCATGATGATTCCCAATGGTGGCTGCGGGATCCGCTGTGGACGTTTGAGGACCCCCAATCCATGTGGGGCTGCTCAACCACCTCCAAGAGGGAGCCAAAAACCTGGAAGCAACCTGGGAAAACTCATGGGGAAAACCTTGGGATCAGCCTGAATAAGGTGGAGATTTAACCACGATCCAAAGGGACACCAAGGAAAAGAAATAGAGAAGGATGGAAAAGAGGGAACATGGGCCTTGGAGATGGGAAATCGCTGTCAGATGATGCCAACAGACTCGAACTTGCTCCTTAACTTTCCACAGCAATGAGGAAGACTTCTGCACTCTTCATCTCCTAGCCAAGCAGAAATCCTTGTGCTCAAAGGGAAAAGCAATGCCAAAGAGCAGCACAGAAAGCAGGGAATATCTGGCCTGGAAACCTCCGAGCACTGGGATGCAGCGAGCATTTGGAGTGTGTGAGGGACATCTCGGTCCCGCTCCTTGCCAGGGACCTGAGGAAGAGGGGAGGAAGGACCTGTAATTCCCAAGGGCTTCCAGCTTGGAAGGTGGGGCTCAGGGAGCCGGCAGCTTCTGTGCAAGAGATCTTTTTTTTGCAGTTTTTGCAGGAAAAGGCAAGAGCTTAGGGAAAGGACAGCCTGCCAGGGGGGCAGGGGATGAGAGGAATCCAGGAGGGAGTGGGCAGCCACACTTGCTGAATTAGCAGCAAATCCCAAACGCTCCTGCGGGAACGGGAGCAGTGTCCCAGAGAGGCAGGCAGGGTGGGAAAGCTCTTCACAGGCTGGGAATGATGCAGCTGGGCAGCTCTTTGCCCCTTTTCCACCAAATCGCCCAAATTCCACAGAAATCTGCCAGATTTGAGAGCCCAAATCCCCTTTTCCCAGTGCGATGGGGATGCAGGAGCATCTCCTTCCGCCTCGGATGCGGCTCCGTCCCCGGCACTGGGACGCAGGGTTAGGGAACCAGGTGAATTTGCCCGTTTCGGCAGCACTGCTGTTGTTACCAGGCAGATTCCCCGCTCCGATGTGGGGTTTTTTTCTTTTTTTCTTTTTTTTCCTGTCAGCCAGGGAGCCGGGAAGGAGGTACCGCCGGTTGCCATAGAGATAAGGTTGCCTTTAATCAGTATTTCTTCCCTGGGAGAATTGATTACTAAAGGTGTCACTAAATAAGTCAGTAAATTGGATTTTTTTCTTTTTTTTTCACTTTCTTCCCCGCTTCTTCCCTATCAGATTACATTAGCATCAGCTCTGAGGCTCCCGCCGTGAATGCGGGGTGCAGATGTCGCCCGGGAGAGCCGAACCAGCGGCATTAGCCTGGAAATTGCCATTCGGCTTAATCCCCTTCCAAAGAACTCCGCTTTACGGGAGCTCCAAGCTCCGGCCCAGTAGGGGCCACCCGGGGCAGGATTAAACCCATGGTCTGTGCAACACCCGCTGGTTGGTGGTACTGGGTTGTGGAGTTGTCCTTTTTTTTCCTTTTTTTCTTTGTTTTTTTCCTGAAACACCACAAAACCAAGCTGCTCTCGAGCAAAACTAGGATGCTTGGGGATGGCCACAGGCTCTTGGATGCTCGAAGGGTTTCCAGGGTGTTTTGCAGCCTACATTGAGTCCCAATTTCCCTGTTTCGCTCCATCTTAATTTGCAGCTTCCGAGGAGAGCAGACCTGGAATTTTGCCAATTGCCAGAAAAGAAAGGATGAAAAAGAAAGGATGAAAAAGAAAGGATGAAAAAGAAAGGATGCCCCAGGGCAGCACCCGATCCCCTGCAGGTCCCAGGGGTACCCCTGGTCGCAGTTCATCACTGTCCTGCTTGGAAGTCATCCCCAAGCGTGGTGTGTGCCAAATCCAGTCAAGTTTGGGACCGCCATCATTTGTGCTTATAGGATTCAGATCTTGCTTCCCATTTTCCCATGGGAAAACCGTTCTCCCGACGTGGGGGGCACCACCAGCTCTGCATCCCAGGCGCTGCTCTGTTGTAGCACCGGGGCAAATAGGGCAGCAGGAGCATTGGCCAGAGACCCCTCTCATCCTGGCATCCACCCGGCCTCCCACCCATGGGTGCCCCCCGGGGCGCGGTGTCTAGACAGCGGCTGCTTGCCGTTGCCATGGCAATGCAGCAGATGCAGGAAATTAAATAAATACCCAGGGGAAAATAAAAAGGGGAACGGAGGGGAGTAATGATGTCCATCCTAGATCATTGGGGCATGATCCCATAGGGGCAGAACCCTATGTGCCTGGTTTCTCCTCATCCTGGACCCATCATAAAGGAAAGGAAAATGCATTAAAAAGAGCTGAATCCCACTTTTCTTTTCTGGCTGCCCAGCCAGGAATTTTACTTTTTGGATTATTTGGGAAGGGCCCTTCACTGCTGGTAAGAGGCCAACGGTGGGAAATGGGGATTTTTGTCCTTTCCGCTGCCCTTTCAGTGGGCTCTTAGCAGAGCGGCGTTGCTGAAAGGTGTATTTTCCTTCGGGACGGACACAGCGGGGACCGGAGTCCTGGCACCAGGGCCTGAGCCTGGCCCCTGTCCCCGCAGGTGGCAGCTCTGCAGCGTCAGGTCTTTGACTTCCTGGGCTACCAGTGGGCTCCCATCCTGGCCAACTTTGTGCACATCCTGGCCGTCATCCTGGGCATCTTCGGCACCATCCAGTACAGGTCCAGGTACCTCATCCTGGTAGGTAGCCCGGGGTGTCCGTCCCGCGTCCCGTGGGCGCCCGCTGGTCCGCGCGGTGCCCAAGGGGGCTGTCTCTGCCGTGCAGTACGCCGTGTGGCTCGTGCTCTGGGTAGGCTGGAATGCCTTCATCATCTGCTTCTACCTGGAGGTCGGGCGCCTGTCGCAGGTAAGGCTGCCTCCCTTCTCCTCCTCCTCCTCCTCCTCCTCCTCCTCCTCCTCCTCCTCCTCCTCCTCC